TTTTCCATATTTCCTCTCATCGTGAAGCATTAAATTACATTCATCTTCAGTTTCTACAGTGAACAAAACTTCTTCAAAGCAGCTTTGACACCAAAATTGTTTATCGTGATATACATCATTCAAATTATTTATATCCAGCTGTAAATGATAGTGATCCAATAAAAGTCTAAAATTTTTCTTTTTAAATTTTTTAACTACTTGAAATATAAAGTGACAAGATTTACAAACTAAAATTTCCGAATATTTTATCCTGTAATAACTGACCCATAAACAGTAAGCGGATTCTCCGTCAAAATCAATGGTTGGAGTTGCCAAAATGCTATTTCTGTAAGACGATCCAAATCTCTTATTCAACAGAATGAATTCTAAATTTAATAAAGAATTGCCATCAGACTGGAGCGCTAATTGTTTAAGGTACTTCCATCTATATTTCGAATAATATTTAAATATTAGTATCGTTAGTTTCCAAGGCAAAGGTGACTCAAGCAAAAAATCAGCACTACACCTAATATTTTCGCAAATTGTTATAATACAAAGGCTTTCTAATGTAAGTTGTTTGACCATAATCTGTAACAAAAATATATTAAAAAATAATTACGGCACTTTATAATGTCCCCACGGAAGCGTTTCATATGAATTCGGCAAAAGATAACGTTTATCGTCTAAAGGACTCAAGGCAACTTTTGTTTGTTCGATGCTAAATACATTGTGAGTGTATGAACGAATGGTTCGTTGAGTGGCGTACTTTTCCCTAAAATTTGTTAAGCATTCTACGTAGTCATCAAATGAAATTTTATTTTTTACAATATTGTACTGAATACCCTTTGACTTTTTAACTACCGAACCCGTTAAAATTTTGAAAGTATACATTTTCGACCTTAACCCCGCATAATGACTAATGATGGTGCCATTAGTCTCATCCTTCATCAACCCCAAAACCTTTTTGTTGATTTGCGGTATATTATAGGGATTGTCATTAGGATAATCAGACGTGTCAAATTTTGTTAAATCGGCCTTAATAACGCTTTCATATGCGTCATAACATTTGATATTATAAATGAAACTGTCCGTATCCATGTATTGAATTTTACATTTTTCGGGACCCAAATTTGGAAGCATGTAATTATAATGAAACTCGTACATGGTCGTTTTCGACAAATCCAATATGGACATTCCAATATAAAGTGGCTTATTAAAGCAAAGTTCCGATTTTTTTAATTCTATAAGCAACAAATTGTTATCAAGTATGGTTCTACTGTGAAATCTAGGACTAGAAATTAAATTTTTCGCACCGTAGCGACCATCCCACGCTTTAACAAATTTAACAATACGATGCTTGCGAATGTTTTCCATTGTTTTACCGTAAGCGGCATTATTAAACAATTTGTATAAATTTATACCAAATTTTGTCTTTGCTTGGGTTCTTAATTTATTATTATGATCGATATAACATTTCAACCAACGAGATTGGTTAAATTTTAATATTTTGTGAATTTTCTTTAGTACGAGACCGTTTTTGAGAGCCTGTTTTAAATTGCGATAGTGTATGACGTATTTTTCTTTATTATACAAAGTAGTCATTAGTTTTGGTAACTTTGAATTGGGGGGCACTCGATGTTCGGCACAAAATGGAAAATCTCTATGTGTGTCATGTAATTTCTGCGGGTATTCCAGGTCTACCTCTAGGATATATCCTTGGGAAGATTCATCTGGAATGTTCATGACATTAAATGAATCAATCTCTTGATGAGACATCCAGTCGAATCCTCCGTAAGGAAGAGGCTCGCACATGGCCTTGCCATAGAGGTTATTGACGTCAAAGTACATGATATAGGAATCATCCCTGGATGAATCGTAGTTGGGCATATATTTATTGTTGGCCTCCGCATATCTACCAACACACACCGAAATTCCACCTCGTATAGCCCGCTCGATAAACATAATTTGGTCAATGTCGCGCAAAAGTTCTAAACGACATTTTGTGAATCTAAGCATGCAATCCCATGTATACCCGGGCATACTGAAATACCACGCCGGATCCAAAACGTGTGTTGCCATACAAGTTTTTCGAAAATTTTCGAATATATCTGCCAGAAGAATAACGTCGGTTTTTAAATACAAATCTGAATACTCGCCTAAATTTTTTATTTCAAACGACTGCCAAACACTTTGTGCGTGGGAATATTTTTCTTCACTAATATTGCTTTCACTTAATTTATTATAGAATTCTTCAATCGGGGGTAAAGTTGTTTCATTTAATTTGTCTATATGGTCGATGTAATCGTAACAAAAAATACCTTTTTGCGACAGTAAATTTAATTTTGATTCGTCGAGATCGGAAAATTCTTTTCTTAAAATATATAGTTCATTTTTATCCATACTGGAAACTAAATTATCCAGAGATGCTCCCAAAAATCTAAACGAATCTATAAATCTAAATTTTATGTTATAATCAGGTTCGAAATATGTAAAAGAGATGTATTTTTCCTTATTAACCGGAACTATGGATACATAGCTTTTTTTTGCTAAAACCGGAAGCAGGAAGTGGCTATCGTATCCAGAAAGGTTCTGGAATACTACGGGCACTACAAATATTTTTTTAAAATTTAAATTACAAGCCTGATGGGCAAAACCTCTAAATTTACCAGTAAAATGATCATGGTCACGAACAATAACATCTTCTTTTAAAAAAGGTTTTTCACAAATATGACAATGACTCGACCTTTGATCTAGACTAATTTCACTATCCATTGGTATAATATCCTTAAATTTTGAACGAACAAATTTTGATAAATTAGATATTTCCTCCACGAACCAATCAATACAATCTAGACCACGATAACTTTTGAAAAATGATATTGAATCATCATAAGAACATTTAAAGTAATATGCAGCACTGTAAGCTTCGTGCTTTTGGTATTTCGAGGTTTTATCTGAAATTTTCAAATTTACTTTTCTCAATTGACTCTCAAAATCGGCGTAAATTACAAACGGAGTCCTTTGTTTATATATATGGTTTCGAAATTCAACGTAATCATATTTGGGAAAAGACACTTTATACTCATTGAAACTGGAACATATTGTTTCGTGGTCATGTAGACGAGTTTCGTTATTGAAATAATTCAAACACCTATCGCAAATGTATTTCTTGTGATTATATTTACTGAGCTGTGAGGAAACTAATCGAGACAAATTTTTAATGTAACAATAGTGATATTTTATTTCTTCATAATCATTATCTTGCGGATCAGGATCAAAATCATTAACTTTTGGATAATATTTATTTTGTATTAACAACAAATTTGAATGTTTTTCGCGTTTTTCTTTTGTTAATCGTGCAGGTAACACGGAATAAAAACTAGTTTTTTCATTTTTATTAAGCTCTAAGATATAAACATTGATGGAAATATCATTGTCTTTTTCAAATTTGCTTATTTTATTCATTTCCATAGGTGTTTGTAAATTTTCAGTTTTCAAAACACTTTTGTAGTATGGATATGAAGAGGGTAAATACTGACGAAAACGTGCTGGAAAGAGTCCGCATACAACTGACCAATAAAAACACGCTTGATCGTCATTTCTAATGTTAATACAAGCCCTTTTATTCGCAATTTCTTTAGGCAACTCAACGAAGGATGACCCGTTACCCATTTCAAATTTATTAATGTTAATCTCTAAATAAATAATATTATTTAAAGCCCACCCGGAATCACGTTCCTGAAACTCTGACATTTGATTTAAAATTTTATCTTGCACATTTTCAACAAACCAATCATTCAATTCTGTTCCTAAATCAACTACAGCATTTCCGGTACTCAGATATTTAACATCAACTTCGCCTTGGACATCATTTTTTGCCTTAATAAATTCACCGCAAAATGTGGTATTTACTTTCAGCAATAAAAATTTCTTTAAAATTTGACTAATTTTTTGTTGAAATATTGGACGAGAATCGTTTAAAAATTGAATTAAATCTTTATGAAGTAAATTAATTATGACACCAGTCTGAACTCTTCCCTGGAAACACGACGCTACCGATTCCCATACAACCATTTCATTTGTGTTTGTCTCGCGGCTACTACTTTGTAATCCCAATCCAAAATGCTTATGTTGATAATTAAGAATAATTTTTCTAATAGCTTTCAGATGTTGAATTGTAGTTTGTAATTTTCTTTTTAACCCAATAGATAAATCCTTTTCGTTAGAAACGATTTGGTTGCAAGATTCAATATTTTTATTTAGTCTCCTAAGCCACACATCACTATCTCTAAGAGTGAACTTGTCGGAAATATGCTTTTTTAATTTTTGTAAGGTTAAAATTAAGATTTGCGCTCTATGAATGATCTGCTTTACGCGCATCGTGGTTTATTAAATATATAACAGTAAATAAGACTTACCCTGTATAATATGTTGATTAATTTTGAATTATTTTGAATTTCTTTAAAGAGTTGGGCTTTCCAATATCTTTGGATCCCTCGTAGACCAGTTTGTACTGCCCCGACGCAAAGTGTTCTAGTCTCGGACGGAAAGCTTCTGTCACGCGAGTAGGAAGAAATACTACGGAATTTTCTAATTGCAGCAACACGGAATTGCCAAATTTTGTATTAACAATTTTGGCTCTAGTAATTTTAAACGGAACGCCTATCGGCAATTCATGCAGTTTGACAATCGGCTGCTCAAAATCACCTTCTGCAAGACAGGTTTGATTCAGTTGACTTAAGTCCATCTATAAATTATTATTAATTATTTTATCTCAAAATAAAAAAAATAAAAAAAAACTTACGCTTAAGATTGCTGCTATTCTATTTGCGGTTACGGGTTGAGAGTACTAAGATGATCTTTAGGAACTTTATAAAATAATAACAAATGTTAAAGAATTAAAATAAGACAATAAAAAAGGTACTTACTGCTTTTTTGTACGAACACCAAACTACTAAGTTAGCTTCCACGTTGCACGAATAATACCAAAAACAACTACTGACAAAACAGAGAAAAATGAGATGTATTTATACGGTGCGATAATACTTTCTAAAAGTTAACAAACGAAGACACCTCCACATGCGTTGCAACAAATTTTTCCCATTACGTTAATCCCACGGAGCAAATATAAAGGGGGCAATTAATTATTATTCTCAACAAGCAAAACAACTCGACATTTAGACTCGGCGCGTTTTGAAATTCCACATCCCATACGGAGATTGTAAAAAATGAAAGCAAGTTGGCCTTGATCTTTTGCGGCAACATACGTTCGTCCAACGTCCGAAGCGGTTGCGTTCCCGTGTGAAAGCGTGTTGACCTTGAGACTCCTACCTGCACGGTTGTCTGGCGACAACATCGCGTCTATTCAAATCGGCGTTGGTGCTTGTGGGTAGAAGACCTTTTCGACTTTTAATTCAACCATGGAAGGGAGTGCATGTGTATAAATACGTTGCATGTGTATTATAGACTATATTCAGTGCAATGAATACAGAAGTGCGATGTCCATTTCCCTACGACCCTACAACTGGTAAGTTTTATATTTTAATTACCTTTATACAGTGCGCGTCTTTTCTTGTGGGTTTCAGTTTGGGTTATCACTTTTTTGGTTAGTTTCTACCTGTTTTTAAAATATGATACTCATCTTTTTTACGTTGCATAATAACCGATTTAAATTGAGTGTTTTTAATAGCTTTTAAATGACAGTGAATGGAAAAGGGAATTTTGGCTTTTAAAAAATAAACAATTTTTAAATTTGTTTCAAAAATGTTTTATTTTTTGTACTAAAAAATTGCAGTTTGCCTTTTTGACAATAATAATCGAATTAAATTGAGCGTTTTTAATATCTTTTAAATGACAGTGAATAGGGAATTTTGGCTTTTAAAAAATAAACAATTTTTAAAATTACTGAAAGTTTTGTTTCAAAAATGTGCGTTTTATGGGGAAAACGCGAAATATATACATATTTTTGTTTATTTTTTGTACTAAAAAATTGCAGTTTGCCCTTTTGACAGTGAATTGAAACGTGAATTTTGGTATGCGCGTATAACTTAAAAAACAATTTTTAAAATTATTTGATAACCCCCCTTTTTGGAAGTTTTGTTTAAAAAAAAAATGTGTGTTTTATAGGAAACGCTACATATCATACTTTGTTTTGTTCTAGAAAAAATCGCGGTTTGTCCGTATGACAAGTCGCATATTATGTTGGCGCATCGCTTAGGGCGTCACATATTCAAATCACACAAAGAGTACCGGGGGTTAGAATTCCCGGTACGACATGAAACGACAAGGGAACATCACCAGCAGCAGGAGCAACCCGGTGGATCAAAAGAAACAAAGGAGCAGCAGGAGTACCCGGGTGGGTGGTCGACGGAGTGGGACGGCGAGGAGTGCACTTCGTATTTAGATTTCCTCCGGGAACGGGAAGAAGAACAACGCAAGGAACAGGAACAATGGGATGGTCGACTGAATCGACATAAAAAGAAGAAGAAACTCCTCGCCAGACCAATTTTATAAATAAAATAAAATAAAATGTATTAAAATTCAAGTTTATTTAATTATCCTCCCGATCCACCGCGTCACCGCGCCGCACCGTCACCGCCCTCTACCGGGGGGGCCTACGACGGTCGGAGCGCGCGACATCTAGCAGCGACGGGCGGAACCGGGGCAAAACAGGACGCTACACAAGCTGGCGACACAAGCGCGCGACATCTAGCAGCGACGGGCGGAACCGGGGCAAAACAGGACGCTACACAAGCTGGGTGGGGGGCGGAGCGCACTCTGGTAGACAGGGGGGACACTAGGACGCCACGCGCGGGGGGCCCCCGCTGCGGGGGGGTTAGGAAATTGAGGTTATGTACGGTTTCTGTTGCTTATATCGGCACTATACATCTACTACGGATGTCTTTCATATTTATTCTGTAGACAAATTTCGCAATTATTTATAAATGCCGTAATTGCATCCCTGAGTTTTGGCCAATAATATTTTTGTTTGATATTATGATAGGTTTCCGTTATGCCATTATGATTGCTCTGGTGATAGTTAGAAATAATATCTTTTTTTTGCTCAGGGTTGGTTACGTCTGTCACGTAAGAGTTTGACATGAGAAGTTTTGCTGAAGCGTTTAAATTTGCGGAGACTATTCTTTCGAATTCGACTTTAAGTTCGTGATTGGGAATAAAAATAGTGAAAGCGACATCAGGTTTTATTATTTCTTTTATTATTTTTTTGATGTGCTCAATCCTGTCCTCTTTTAATATACGAACGAAGTGGTGATATTTCTGAAAAGGTTTGGAGAATGTATGTTTATATTTTTGGCCATAGTCGATGACTAAGCGATTTGTAGCGTAATTTAAGGGTAGTTCGGAGATTAGGAGATGTTTTCCTCGTGTGTCATTGTTTGAATGAAAGGTGACGTCGGAGACATTATCTATTACGTCACGTCTTGTTTGTTCTTCGGGTTGGGTAGTAGCATTGACGGTGTCGGTTGTTATATCATTATATTTTTCGTTAAGAACGAAATCGGCGAGATCGAAGTCACTAAGATTGGCGACTGTATCGTCGACATTAGGGACATTGGATCGGGTGTCGGAGGCATCGTTGGTTTGATTGACGTTAAGTTCTATACTTGGTGGGTGTCTAAAGGATTTTACATAGACTGGCCGGTCGTCTTTCGTTCGAATGACGTGTTTAGTTTGACTCGTAAAAGTAAGATCACAATCCTCGTGATACATAATATCTTTATATTCGTGGCATAGGGGCAAGAGTTTTGATTTTTTACTAAAGGCGATAGGTGATCAAGCCTTAGTTGACTTTCAGGGTTGAATTTCGAGGGGCGATCGAAAGGGGGATTTAATAGCTCGAATTGATCCTCAGGAATAACCCTAACTCTTCGGTGGAAATTAATTGAAACGTTTGGTACTGGGTTTGGAATTTTGCAAAATCCGTCATTTACTTCAACTAATGAATCGGGAACTATATGTTCATTAATACGGAACGAAGGGAGAAGAGCAGTTCCATTTTCGAAATTAACTGGGATAAGTAAAGATTTACTATTAAAATTATTGATTGGTTGATGCAGTGGTTTGTTATAGGCAAGTGAAAATGGAATTTTAATATTTTGTAAAGTAAGTATTTTATTTTCGTAATCAATCAATGCAATTAATTTTTTCAGATCTTTGGTTCCTATAAGCGCTTCAAAATCGTTATGCCAATTTAGTACACGAAGATTAAAATTTAAATTAATCCCTAGTTCTTGTAATAGTGGAATTTTTAAATTTTTATCCTCCTTGTATACTTGTTTACATGCCGTAACTTCAAAGGGTTCAATAAATGGATTTAGTGGATCTAAATTGGCTGTTTTTGGCGAAATTATTGAGTCGGAGGCGCCGGAATCAATGAGTACCGTGATTTGCTTTTCAGGAAGGTAAAAATAAGGAAGTTCGATTTTTTGCTCTATGTTGTTTAAGTTAATTCTAGATGGGAGGCTACGTCCTGAAAATTTTCGGGAATTTCCTCGTTATTTTCGACATTATTATCGAAATCTGAATTTGGGTCGGAAAGGTTGTAGTCGTGATGAACGGGTTCGCCGTTATAAATCTGGGAATGATCATAATGTTCAGTATTTTGAAAGGGTTCCGAGGTTTGATAGGATGGGGTTTGGTCATAATCGGGGTGAATTTCGACATTGTGAAGTTCTTGAGAAACAAAGTTTCTCGGTCCTGTCCTTTGGAAGAAATTAGTGTAATTTTGAGGGGCTTGTCTCTGCGGATGTGTGCGAGAAGGTCCTATAGCGGAAGTTATAGGTTTGGCTTGTTTACCAAACACTTGGGCGTTCGTCGGAAAATGTCGTTGAACTGGTCGGGGTTGAATATTAATCGGTTGACTGGGAAAAGGTTTTGGCTGTGGGATGAAGGCAGGTTGTTGGTTACAAAACGGTTTAAAATTATTGCTACCATTATTTTGCCTGGGTGACGACGCGTGCAGGTTTGAATTACTGTTTGTAAAGTTAACCTGAGACTCTATCATATTATAGTTTACCACGTGTGAAAAAGCGGCGTCAAGTGTCTGGGGTCTTTGTAACATTAATAAGGTTTTTAACGTATGCGGAGAATTTGCTGTTAAAATAAGTACTGATGTGCTTTCTACTTGCGTAATTAAAATTAATTTTGAGTTTTGATCTTCTACTTCGCATTGAATCTTTGAAATAATTCTTTGAATAAAAGTTTTTAACCTTTCTACGAAATGCAAAATGTTTTTGCCTTTGTTAATTTTAATATATTGCAATTGTTGCATTAATATTGGATAAGTTATAGGATCACCAAACTTTTGGCGTAATGCATCTTTAATAGAAGCCCAAGTAGTTAAATCCGACCTCGCGAGAAGAAAACTTCTAGCATCGTCAACTAATTTCGATTTTACTGCGGCTAAAACTACCTTTCTTTGATCTTCGTTAGTGTTGAAATATAATGAATAAAATTCGTCGACAGACAAAATAAAGCTCTCTAAATGATCTTGATTTCCGGAAAATGTGGGTAAAAGTGAAGTATGGAATCTAAGGTTTTCCATTTCGTTTGTATTGCTAATACTTAAACTATCTAACAAATCTACTAAATCCTCTGGAATAGGCGTTAATGATTTATTCAAATCTTCAGAATCACTATCGGAGATATCCGATTCGTTTTTTAAACGAATGCTTAAACCTAAAGAAGCCCTATTGCGTGTCAAAATACTTTTCAAACGTTTGGAAGCGTCAGACATTAAATAATGGCAATTCAGCAACTACTTACAGTACAGTCAAGGCAAGATCCATAAAGCTGGTGCTGCAGAGGCTCACAACCAAAGGAAATCCTATAAAGGCGTGGCTGAAGGGCTTAACGTCGGGACGTTGATCTGTTTCGGGAGCTGGGAATTGCGTTGACTATATAGCTGCTGACAACACGGTAGCGAGCTATGGTCTTCAAATTCCTTCAGGATTTCTGAGCAGTCCCGTTGCGATCGTGGAGTCAGTCGGTTTCTTTTTGTTCGGATAATGCACTAAGATTTGACAATCACTTTCGCACAACGAAAAACCGATAAAGGGCGAAATTGCACTATCCTGTTCACAGCGCCAGTTAAATAACACGGCCGACGGAGTACGTTTTAAAAAAGGTTTATTTTCGAAAAAACAGGGCTTTTCTTAAAACTAAAAACGAACAATTAATGTGAATAGCGAAGGGCTTTGACACTACATTAATGTTACACGGGAAACGGTGGCAGTCGATTTTATATGGCTGAATCGTTGATTCAGCGTCTATTCAGCAGGATGCGTCCGGTCTGGGGATATTTCTCGCGAAACAGGTCACCGCGCATAAACGACGCGATAACGTGTCGGCCGAGTTAGGCTAGGGGAACAGCGCGTCGGCGGCGTTTATCCGAAGGTTCGAGGTTATCCCGCCCGAGACATCGGTCGATTTTTTCGGCTCTCAAAAATTTCTCGCCCCGCACCCCCCCACCGTAGCGACGAAAAGGCACTACGAAATTTATTTTTTCTACGAACCCCTTTTTTTACCGGGGGTAAGTTTGCCAAAAAGGCACTAACGCACTTGCGGGGGTGGAATTGCCAAAAAGGCACTAGCGGCGGGCACTATGACGTTATAAAATGTTTTTAATCAGTGACACCACTTTTTCGCCTAGGGGAGGTGCCAGAAAGGCACTATGACGTCACACCTCGACACAGGTGTAATTAGCGGTTGACACACCTTATTTAGCGACACCACCCCTAGGTACCTAAGGGGACCCCCTACACCTGTTACTAATTACAGGTGTACACCTTAATGGTGACAGTTTCCACTTCTTCGGCGTGACCTTTATTTCTTTTACATGACCTCTTACGAAGAACTAACTTTGGTACACTGTTGATGGAACATGCCATCGGTGACCTTGAATCGTCACAGTCCCGCGTAAAAATAACTACTGGAAAATACTCCACTTGTGAAAACGAGACGCTGCTACAGTTATTTAGTGAAATGAAAACGGGTTTGCAAGAGGTAAATGGCTGTTCCATAGCATCAGTTTGTAAAAGATATCGTGAAATTGGTGGAGAAGTTGATTTAAGCGACCAACTTTTGGTTAAAAAAGTTAAAGAGAAGTTTGGGGATAACATTGAATTAGTGAAATTTTCAAAAAAAAACGAACCTAGTGTTTTTTCGAAACAGTTTTCTAAGAAGCAAGCTATTGAAGCAGTAGTGCATCACACTGAAACGAAAAGTTCAACTATTTATCATTTGATACGACAGAAATGGCATACCAAGTAATGCAGAATTTAAAAATTTAATAATTAAGCATTACAAAAAGCATACTCCAAATAATTTATAGTAGACGACTAAAGACAGTTGGAGCAGACATAACCTCACTTTTGGCATGGCGACTGCGTGGATGGAGCCTTCCGGCTGAGATGAAGCGCTCCCTGCCGGGGCTGCCCCTGCAGTGGGTGTATCGCGCCCGCAGCAAGAGGGACCTCCCGCGCCCTACAACCGCGGGCCTCCCCACCACTAACCTAAGAAAATGACTCACCCTCCGTTGTCTTGCGTGGTCTTGGCCGTCTAACCGTGGGTGGGAGGGAGAAGCGCGGCAACCGTCCTTTATTAAGCGGCAGCAGTGTCCCGATGAGTAACCCGGCAACGAAGCGTTGGCGTCGAATACCAATTCAGCACAGCCCGTTCCCGTTCTTTCTTAGCCTGCGTGCGGCAAATTGTTAAAATCAAATTACCGTTCAATTGAGTAACGCTTTTAAGCATCAGCGGCAAATTGTTAAAAAAAATGATAATGCATTCCGAGAAGTAACCCGGCAACAAGGCATTGGTGTGTGTGTGAGTCGAATACCAAATCAACGTGTGGCGTGGAGTGCGGCCGGGCCCCCAGCAGGTGCTCGCGTCGACCGCCCTTTGTTAACAGGCATGCGGCAGCGGCAAATTGTTAAAATTAAATTTGTTACCAACGCGTTCCGATGAGTAACATATTTTTCCTTCGGCTCGCCTAAACAAAGCATTGGGACACGCCCTGACTTGAATGACAAAATCACGGCGTGTTTGTGCGCTGAAAACTCGACGGCTGAGTGACATCACCGTTTGCTTTCGCCGCCTCAAAAAAAGTTTTAAACGAAACCTTGGTTTACGCCGGAAAATACAAGAGCGTCGCCTGCCTAATAACAAAATCACGGCGTATGTGCGCCGCGCTAAAAATTAAACTCGGCGGCTAGGGGACATCATCTCTTGCTTTCGCCGCCGCAAAAAAATGTTTAAAAAACGAAACCTAAATCTAAAGTTTCGATGCAAGAGTGCGAGTTTCTGTTGCACCACCCGCATGACTACAACCCTTATTCAACCACCCCCTGTATATATAGACACCTCGTGATTTCATTTTGTCAGTGTGTTATACTTCGCGTCCGGAAGAGGCCTCGTTAACACGCTGATAAATAAGTTACACAAAGCCGGGGCGTTCTTTGTCACTGCCACTACCACAAATATACTTTATTTCAGGGGTGTCTTTATGCAAGACATACCCGAACGAATCAGATCGAAAGAGTGTTGTATAGTTAATTTGGACTTGAGTCGAAATCGAGGAACTCACTGGGTAGCCTATAAGATGAGGGAAGAAGGGACATGGATGTCGACTATTTCGACGGTTTCGGCAACCTAAAACCGCCGGCCCAATTGGCTAAATATTTCGGCGTAAAATACAGCCCAGCGTTGATCGGATCCCACTCATACAACAACATCCCCAGCATCGATAACCGCGAGAACGTAATTAGCATTCCCACCAGGTCGCACGAAATTAATGTCATTGAAAACTACATTAACCAGCATCTTGTAGCGTTGCTACTTTGGGCAAATGGCTCCGGTGCGCATGGTAGAATGTGACAGTTCGATTAGGTTCCGTTGTGGTGGGGTCACCGCTTAGCGAAGGCACTCTTTGACTTGCAGTTGCCTTTTTTGGACGTTCTCGTTATCAAAAACAGTGAAAATCATATAGTTTTTGACATTTATAGGAAAGACACTAGTACTTTAAGATACACAACCAATGATTCTAACCATGCTTATCAACATAAAATGACAAGTTTTAATTTTATAGTCCATAGACCATTTCCTTTAAATCAAGAAAGGTTTGAGGTGGCAAGAAGCCTTATTAAAAAGGTGGCTAGAATCAATGACTATGAAGATAGTTTTATCGACAAGTTAATTAGGAAATTTAGATTTAAAAACAAACTTCAAAAATCAACGACTTTTCAAGCTGATAAGGAAAATTTTAAAGTAGTCTCAATTCCTTTCTCTCCCCAATAACCAAGTGGACTTGATAGAGTCTTCAGGTCTTCGAAGTGTCTATCAGTCCGGATCAAAATTAAAAAATCTCTTGGGTAATTCCAAGGATAAACTAAATACCCTTGAAAAGTCGGGAATTTATCAAATATGTTGTAACGATTGGGACAAGTCATATGTAGGGCAAACCAAAAGATCAATCAAAGTTAGATTTAAGGAACATTTAGCTCATTTAAAATTTGGTAGATTAGAAAAATCAAGTGTAGTAGAACATATGTTCAACAATAATCATAAGGTAGATATAAGTAATTTAAAATTAGTTAAACATGTAAATAATAGTAGAAAATTAGATGCCTGCGAAAGCTTAGAAATTGTTAAGAGAGGGAATAAGGCACTGAACAAGGACAGAGGTCCAATCCATTTAGCTCATTATACACGCTGATTGGTTGCGTGAACAGTGCGTAATTCCCTCTCCCACTTCCCGATGTGTATATATATATATAGACAGAATCTGTTCTATTAAGTTTAGTTTTAATCTTCTGCTGAAGATGCCAACTTGGTTGGCGAAACGCGCGTCGAGTACGTAAAATTGAGTTTCAGTTTGTGGTAAAACGCGTTATTGTGTGTTAGGTGTATCGTAGCTAGAATTCCAGATCGTAAAGAACAGCCTAAGTTGTTTGATTTAGTAGAGAAGTTTCAAGTTCATTGTGGTAGTCGTAATAGGTTTGCTAAGCGTAAGCGTTGCCTCAAAAAAATTACGATGTAACTATTTTACATCGGGGATCGACTGAACGTCCCCAATATAGGAGACCGGCGAGTGATAAGAGGACTGTAACTTGGCATGGTGTGGTAGAAGGTAGTTCGGTCAAGTATGAGTTAGCTAATAGGTGGATTGTTCCTTATAATCCGTATGCTTTGGCGAAGTATCAATGTCATATTAATTTCGAGTTGTGTGGGTCTTTGCATTCCATGAAGTATTTATATAAATACGTTCATAAAGGTGATGATTATGTTTATCTGGTAGTGAGTGCGTGATGAGAAAATTATCTTCAATGTAGGTATGTGAGTTCGATGGAAGCAGCGTGGAAATTATTGGAGCTGAAGACGAATGGTCGTTCTCATTCCATTGTGGTTTTACCTATTCATATCGAAAACGAATTATAAATGTTATTATCTAGAAGATCCAAGTTAGAAGCGTTCTTTTTATTAAATTCTGTCGATAATTTTCCTCGAGGGTTATTTTTTTATCAAATACCGGAGTATTACATTTGGGACGGGAAAACATTCTCTTGGGTTAGACGGAAGGTGAATAAACGTTTTTGTATAACGTAATACTTTCGAATGCTGTAAATTTTTTCGAGAAGTCGACGGTGGCTGTGGCGTGGACTGGGATCGCCGCGAATTTGTTGTATAAGGGAACGAGGGTTCATAAAGCGTTTAAGTTGCCTTTGGATGTAACGAATGTGTCCTTTTGCTGCTTTCCTTTATTGAATGAGGCGTGTGGAATTCTGAGGGATGCGAGCGTGATTGTTTGGGACGAGGCGTCGATGACTCCTCGGTATACCGTTGAATGTGTGGATCGGTATTTACGCGAAGTAATGTGTAATGGGGATTTGCCCTTTGGGGGAAAATGTGTTGTGCTGGAAGGAGATTTTCGGCAAATATTGCCCGTTGTGAAGAAAGGGAATCGGGTAACGGTGCAGCAGATGCCTTTGAAATGTATGGATCTATGGCGAAGGGTGTGTGGATGTTTTATATTCCGATATTCCGGGGTCCTGGTCGGAATGGTTGTTACAGGTTGGCGAGGGGAGGCTACCGGTGGTGAAGATTTCGGGTGTTAGGGTTTCGCCAACCGATTTGATTGAATTGCCGTGGTTTTTGCATGTATCGGATTTGGATTCATTATTGCATTTTGTTTTTGACGATTTTGCGTCGAACATTTTCTTCGGTGATAGAGCCATATTATGTCCGACTAATAAAGCTGTTTATAAAATTAATGACATTATAGAACGATTACGGGGTGAATTTTTTATTTATTATAGTATAGATTCCATCGAACCCAAAACCATCGAAGACGATATGTATATACCACAAGATGTTTTACCTCCGCATGAAATGAAATCCAAGAAGGGCGCTGTAGTACATTCTGTTAAGAAATTTAGATGTTTCCGCTGGTCAATTTAATGGTACGAGAATGCGCGCTGTTGACTTCATGCCGCACGTTATAGAATGTGAAATATTGACTGGTATGTCCAAGGGTAGATTTATTTTGCTTGCGAAAATGACCATGATTTGTAAAGATACGATGTTACCGTACGCGTTGCTTCGATTTCAATTTGCCGTTCGCTTAGCTTACGCTATGACGATCAATAAAGCTCAGGGTCAAACTCTTGGAAAGGTTGTATTAAATTTGCCTTCGCCGGTCTTTACTCATGGCCAATTATATGTAGCCTTGTCTAGGGAGAGATCGCCCAGTAGTATACGCTTTTTTATAGAAAACAGTAATTTGCAGGGGTCTTTTCGTAAGAAAAATATGGTATTCACAAAAAATATTGTATTTAGAGATGTAATAGGTAGGGCTCTTCGTCGTCCGCCGCGCCGTTATCACCACCGTTTCTTTTTTCGTTCACCGCTACCGCTTCCCGTTGTCGCTTCACCGATAGGTAACAGTAACGGTACTTCCAACGGGGACGAGTACAGGTTGACGTTGGGGAACTTCTGAAGTCCCTTGAGGAAGAGTTGCAGTTCTTCCTCGTTGTCCGCAACCACTCGCATATAACGAACGAGGAGCTGCTTCACTTTTGCCTCCACGGTTTCGTTACGTGGCGAGTAATTGAGATAAAGGTGAATTGGGCCGTTCACAACCCTTCCCCCCTTTCTCCCAAACCTATGATTTTATTTTTAAGAAAAAATAATGAGTAAACGAAACAAAGCTTACCTGAACACATTTTTCAAAAACACAGCCAATAATTTATCCGGCATCTGCTTCTTATTGGTAGATCCAAAAATGAACGTAGAAGGAATATTCATTTTTTGCGTGCTGTACGTATAGTTGAATTAATTGTGTGTACAATTATTGTGAAATATTTCGCTATATTTATATGTATGCGGAACTAGAAAAATGTAATTTATCACAAAGTAGCTAACCTCGGGGTCACCGCACTTCACTATTCGATTTAAGTATAAATATAACGGACTGAAGACATATGTGTATTCTGGTATTAACATCAACTTCAAGATGTCAATGAATAAAAGAAGGTTCTTTTTCCTGCCATTCCGCTGCTTGTAAGTTTTTGAAGAAAAGTGTGTAATTTGACTATTTTTTTCTCTTCTTTTCAAAAGATTTAACTGTCTGTCCCTTCGATAAATCCCACATGTTGCTTAAGCGGCGCCGCAGAAACCACGTGTGGAAAAAACACCCCCAAGTGTGGCCGGCGTGGCAGGAACAGCAGCTAAAGCAACATGAAGCAAGGTTCAATAAAAAAATTGAAGAGGACCGGCAGTGGTACGCCCAGTAAGCCCAAAGGCAACAAACATCAAATTGTTCTTGGGAAACAACGTGCCCGACGGGATCGTCCACAGCAGATGATTGGGATACCAATAATTGTAGCTCTTATTTAGATTTAAAAAAAAAATAAAAAATAGTATAGAAAAATATTTTACATTTCACACAGACCCAATCCTCGCTAATCATAAAATTATTGGAGAAGTTATCTGTAAAAGTGGCTAACCTAGGAGTCGCCGCACATCATTTATCAATTTTAGTATAAATATAACGAATGACCAAAACTGCATAGATATTGTACGATATGTGTAAGCAAACAAAATGGTACAAATCGGCGAGTTGAGTGACAAAATGGTAGTCAAAATTAACGAAGTTGGTAAGTTAATTAAAACAAAAAATGACCATCGAAAAAGGATAAAATTTTTAAACGAATGTGTTCTTATTTTAAAAAAATATCTAAAAATCCTATCGACGGATGACAGAAAAGCCCTTTCTAAAGTCGAGTCAAATATAGGCCTTATAAAAACATTTAGGGAACAACTTAAACATGGAAAAAAAGATAAAAAGAATAATCAACTAAGATGACTGGATATTGAATCATGCTTCAATAGTCGAATTAAAACCGGAGCTATAGTAAATTCATAAATCCTCATAATCATAAAATCATCAAGGTCAATGTAATATTTTTGGCGGATTTTATAAAACCTCAAAGTGGCGAAACCGACATCAAACATTTCTCTACTAAAAATCGGGTGATCGATTATAACACGAACTTAAAGGAGTTTTATAATGATTACGTTAAGAACAATGTCTTAACAAATGTGCGAGATTTTCAAGAAAGAGAGTCCGGCTGGGCTCTTTCTCGAGTCTTACAATTAAAAGTAAATATTAATAATTACACTCCGATAAATATCGGTATTTTGACTTCGTATTCTGATGCTAAAATTCATACAAAATTGTAAGGGTGTTTTAAATATTCAAAATACCGACGAATATTGTTTCCTGTGGTCTATCGTAGCGGCACTGCATCCTTGTCGAACAAATCAAAATCCACGTAGAACACCATCGTATCCTCATTTCAGTGAAATTTTAAAATATGACGACATAGGGTTCCCTATAAAATTAAAAGATCTAAAAGAATTTGAAGAAATGAATAGGATTTCCGTTAACGTTTTTGCAATATGAAAAAAGGAAGTGTGTGTCGATTTTCATTTTTAAGGATAGTTAATCTATTAATGCTCCCAACTAATTTTAACGAATTCGATGAGGATGACGAAAATGAATTTGGTTTAGCTCAACACATTAGCTCATTTGACACAATCGCACATTTTGCTTTAATAAAAAATTTATCTCGGCTACTATGCAAACAAAGTGGCGATTTAACAAATAGCAAATTTTATTGTGATCGGTGTTTCAATCATTTCCATTGGCAAGAATCATTACGTGAACACATATTTACTTGTCGAAACATGAACAAAACCAAAAGTAACCTTCCGACAGGTCGCGAAAAAAATATATCATTTTCACATTTTAAAAATAAGGAAATTACGCCGTTCGTTATTTACGCAGATATCGAGTGCATATTGCAAAATTATGACGATCGTTACGCAACTGGAAATACTAGAAAATATCAAAAGCACATCCCTTGCAGTATTTCTTACTATCTATAGTGCAATTATGATAGCAATTTTTCAAAATTTAATTTGTACACGGGTAAAGATTCCATGAGTTGGTGTTCTCGAGGACTGGCACTAAAATTAAATTCTAAATTTGTCGATGTCCCAACAATCATTTTACGCGACCACAATTTGTCATATTTGTTCAAGACCGTTTGAAGAAAGCGATTCAAAAGTACGAGATCATTGTCATTTTACCGGAAACTATAGAGGAGCGGCTCATTCATCGTGAAACCTTAATTATAAAAATGATCACATGATACCCGTCATAGTTCATAATTTAGGGTACGATTAAAATTTTTTCATTAAAAATCTAGCTTCCAAAATATCAGACTCTATGACGCTATTACCTCGTAACAAGGAAAAGTATATAGCATTCACAAAATATATCGAAAACACAAGCATTTATTTTCGATTTTTGGATTCGTTTCGTTTCATGGCGAGTAGTTTAGATAAATTGTGTTCTTATTTAGGACCTAAGGAAAAACATATTACTCGGAGTTGCTGTAAAAAGCGGTATGTAGAAAAACGTACGGGTACACGGTTCCAGGTTTAGCATATGACGAGTGTCTTCTCATGTCCGATGTTCATTTAAAATTAATCACTGACATCGATCAACTTATGATGATAGAGAAGGGAATACACGGTGGAATTTCGCAATGTAGTAATCGATACGGAAAAGCCAATAATAAATATATGGGAAAGGATTATCATCCTAACATTCCATCATCTTATTTAATGTATTTTGATATAAATAACTTAGGCCGTGACCCAGCAGAGGTTCTAGAGATACCGGACAGCCCGGACTCCGTTTTTGGTGGTCTACCAACGGGCCAAGGCCCTTCTGCGGGCTCGTCCTCTTCCATCTTTACCACCGAAGCATCAAAGGGGGCTCCGATGCTGGGGACAGTGAGGACAATACTGGTGACCAGTAAAAGGTCACGAGGCGACTCGGACGACGAGGCCCCCTTGATGCCCGCAAAGAAAAAGGTCTCCTTTACGTGGGATCTCCCTAGACCGCCAATTCTATCGGCAACCAGAGGGCCTAAGTCGACCTTAAAGGCTTCGGCTCCCGCCAGTAAGGCGACTCTCCCAACCCCCCCTAGGTTCGTTGAGGTTAAGGATGTTCTCCATGAGTCGCCCTCAATTAATACAGAAGGTTTCCCGCAGTCTCTCCAATCGACATCTGGCGAAAACGAGAACACTTTAGCGATTAATGACAGAGATCTGATTAGGGAGACCCTTGCGGCGGACACCATGGAACTTATATTGTCTATTGACAATTGGTTGTCCGACACTTTTAAAATGAGGGCCTCAACGAACCCACGAGGTCCCACAAGTGAGGAACCAAACCCGACGCGCTCCAGCCCCCTCCCGCGTGGAACAAAGCCCGTGAGGCACTACGGCCAATCTACTCCTGGCCGGGATCCTAGGGCATCAGCCTACAAACAAGCCCAGGATCTCTACTTGAAGAGTCGCCCCGCCTTGGCTGAGGCGATTCTATCTGGGAAGGGACTGGACGCGGTCGGCGACCTACCATCAATCGAGGCTCCGACGACCACGCCTCCGAACCCAAGCCGTGTGACAAGGGTATCCTGGAAGTCGCTATTACGCCAGAGGAAGTAGGGAGATTGAAATCCAGGGGGAGATCACCCTCCGCCCCAGGACCGAACGGCATCACGGTAATGTCGATTAAGAACAAATCTAATTTAAAACTGGCAGTTTTGTTCAATTCCCTACTCCTGCGGAACGTCATCCACGCGGTTTGGAAAACTTTGAGGACGGTCCTTGTTCCCAAAGAGGGTGACAAAAAGGACCCATTCAACTGGAGGTGGATCACGATTGGCTCCGTTCTGCGGCGCCTCCTCCACCGCATACTGGCTGACAGGCTAAAGAGGACCACAAGTATGCACTAAAGCCAGCGAGGCTTCACTAGTTTATCAACTTTATAATGGGCGGCTTAACTGGCTCCAACACTACCATCAAAGTTGGGGCCAAACGATACGGAAAAGGCAATAATAAATATATGGGAAAGGATTATGATCCTAACGTTCCATCATCTTATTTAATGCATTTTGATGTAAAAAACTTATATGGAAGGGCAATGAATCAGCCCCTACCTATTGGCGGGTTTCAGTGGATTGATAATAGCGAATTTTATTCGAAAAATATAATTAACACCCCAGATGATTCGCATTTCGGGTATATATTGGAAATAGATGTAGAATATCCTAAAGAATTGCATCATATTCACAAAGATTTACCTTTATGTCCGGAACGCCTGGTACCACCCACGGGTACATCAAAACAACCAAAATTATTAACCACATTATTCAATAAAAAAAATTATGTCATCCATTATAAAAGCCTAAAACAGGCTGTCCACCTAGGTTTACGAATCACTAAAATTCATAAGATCCTAAAGTTCAATCAGTCTCCTTGGCTAAAAAAATATATTTATTTAAACACTTAAACACACGTTTAAGGCAAGAAAGCAAAACTGAATTTGAAAAAAAATTTTACAAGTTAATGAATAACGCAGTGTTCGGTAAAACCATGGAAAACGTTAGGAAATATACGGAATACGTTAAATTAGTAACAAAATGGTCAGAACGGTATGGTGCAAAACAGTACGTACGTAGTTCTTATTGAAATGAGGAGGCTAGATACTAAATTTAACAAACCTATATACGTCGGTTTCAGTATCCTAGAAATTTCCAAAATAATTTTGTACGATTTCCATTACAATTATGTCATTCCAAAATTCGGCAAGGCTGCGAAAAAAAGATTCCTTAATCTATCACTTTTTCGTCGATGATATTTACAAATACATTCTAGAAGACATTCATAAATTCGACACTTCCGATTATCCTCCAAATAATATTTATAAAATACTTCTCGCCAATCAAATTAAAAACGATAACTTTTGAAAATTATTACGACTGTTTATTTAATAAAATCAAAATATATGCCGAGGAACATCTATTTTGTAGCCGAAAACATCAAATGTCCACGGTAAAACAAAAAAAATCGCATTAACACCTTTCGACGATAAAAGAGTAATTAATTACGTATTTACCGACACGTTATCCTGAGGCTATCACAATATAATTTTTGGAACATCAACTTTTTATTCATTCAATATCATTTTTTATTAATTAATAAAGCAACTTCACTAGCTCAAAATTTCAGCAGAAGGTGACCAACTTATGTCTTAGGTAAGGATATTATTGTTTTCAAAATCATATATAACTCAACTGAATATATTTTTACTCGCAGTTGTTAAGAAAGGAGCAGTACAGAAGAGAAACAAGAAGTCAAACTTACATTGTCATCCCAATTATCAAACCTGGCAAACATCCCACCCTCCCAAACAGCTACCGCCCAATTTCCTTACTAAATACCATGTCCAAAGTTGCAGAACGCATCATGCTCACTAGAATCAACTGTTTAGATTCCGACCACTCCCTCACGCCCGAATTTCAATTCGGCTTCAAAA